CGATGTCACACAATCCCTGGACTAAAGAGAACCTGTTATACACTCGTCACCCTTTCCATGCCAGAGACGGTTTTTGCATATTTTTTCGCACATGTTTTTAGCCCCCAAAATCACTTAAATCCCCTCAAACTATATTGCCAAAAGTATTGGGACGCCTTTACACGCACATGAACTTTACTGGCATCCCAGTCTTAGTCACTAGGGTTCAGTATTGGGTTGGCTCCGCCCTTTGCCGCTATAACAGCTCCGCCTCTTCTGGGAAGAATAAAATGGCCGCAGTTGCGATTTTTATCTTGCACAGTATTAGCACAACTGTTTATCAAACCCAAATTTTCATTAAGAAAATGGCTTCAAATGAATATGGTCGTGTAGAGACACCCTATAATACATGATTTATTGGTGAGATATAATAGATAAGGAGGCAACGATTTAATAGATACCAAAAACGCCAAACTTCATAATTACGTGTGCTCGTGAAACAGCAAAAAGCTACCGTACTCACAATTGTCCAGAAGGGGGCGCTCTAAAGCCTTTGCAGGCCATCAGTTTAAAATGAACCATGAACAATGGTGGTAAAGTTAATGTTCTCACTATGGCGTGAGCGGCGATGCCTGACATGTGTGCCGCAATCATCTTTTTTCACACGTAGTCACACCCGGCGCATGCGTTTATGTTCCTATCTGCGTAGGCGAGGGGGCTTTCATTTGTTTTTTTCATTTATTTGAATTAACCACAATTTTTTTTAACTTTTTTTATTTTTTTATGGATTCAACTTTATTGCTACCCCATAGACGGCTGACAACCTCCGAACATCTAGATCCATTTTTTAGAGCAGCGTTGAGGGGCATTAAAAAAAAGTGCCCCAAACCTTAATTCGGAGAAGACCTTACCGCCATATTTTCCATGCATAGACGCGTGTAAACGCGGGCGTATGCACCGAAATTCATTCTAGCGGCTAGAATAAATGAATATTCTGAATGACACAATGGGCGGGATTTATCAAAACTGGAGCAGACAAAAACTGGAGCAGATTTGCACTGCAGCCAATCAGCATCTCTCTTTCATTTTCAAATCTCACCTGAGCAAACTGAAGAGAGATGCTGATTGGTTACCATGGGCAACTGCTCCAGATTCTCTCTGCTCCTGTTTTGATAAATTCCACCCATTGGGCATACGCCGCTAAATGCCAAACGTACCACTCAAAAACGTGTGTAGTTCTATGTGTCAAGTTGCGCACTTTTCATGCTGCTGGCAGAGAGATCCGGAGGAGATGGGAGCATTTTAATGCGCCCATGTGCGTGAGCCCTTACGAAGCTGCAATTGTCTTCACATCGCCGCGTTATAATATGGCGGCGCCAGTAAAAGAGCTAAAGCTCTTGTTCAGAATATTAAAATAGTTAGTCGCCTGTAGGCTGGGCGTAGGCGCACTTTACCCCTGCCGGGGCCTCCGCTCACAGTAGTGTAGCGCGTGAACGTGCGCAAAATTTTATGCGCATTCTCAAATTGTATAACGAGCTCGCGGTGCCTTTTATTGCTAATGGCACCAAACATGACGTGAGGTTTTTTTTGCATCTGGTGGTTACTATAAGCCTCCTAGTGGTACCCTAAGTCTCCAATCACACTAGTGTAGCACGTGAACGTGCGCCACATTTTGCACATGTGTTCGCAAAAAAAAGCAAAACGTGCTTGCGCTGCCTTTTATACAGTAGGTAATGGCACCCTAAGCATGCTATGCATGACGTGACTTTTTTGCATCTGGTGGTTACTCCAAGCCTCCTAATGGCACCCTAAGACTGCACTCACACTAGTGTAGCGCGTGAACGTGCGCAAAATTTTGCACGTGTTTTTGAAAAAAGAAAAACGCGCTTGCGGTGCCTTTTATTGTTAAAGGCACCAAGCATGACCGGGCCCGGACTTCCCACAAGGCCAACCGAGGCCTGACCTTGGGGCAACAGGGAGTAGCGGGGCAGCAGGGAGTAGCGGGGCAGCAGGGGTGTGGAATTCCTATCTCCCGATGCCTGGGACATGCAGTTCCGGCCGCCGGGCGAGTAGTTGTTGCTTTGGGCAAATCCGGCCCTGAGCATGACGTGAGATTTTTCTTTTGCATCTGCTGGTTAAAAAACGTGCAAACTCGTCTGCCGCATTTGTCGCACGTAGGGCGTAAAAAATCGCGGCGCGTGACGTCCATCGTCGCAAGTGTACATGGGGGCTCAATTGGCCAGATCGGCGATGGGTGTATTTTACTGTCGTCCTTCATTTCGTGACGCAGTGATCTGTCACGGTGTTGGAGCGATCCGTCGCAGGTTCCATCGAGCGCCGCGCGGTATGTAGGTTAATCTGATACGCGTTCCAGACTCTGCTGATTGCTGTCAGTTTTCTCGCGGCGCACGCACGGCGGTATGGCACGTAATTGGCCCACCGCCTTCCTGCCTGGCAGCCTCCCTGGAAGAGCGCCCATATACCCTTGCAGATATATTCAGATAAATATAGAATCGCCTATTTTTAGGTCGCTGTCGTTCCTCTTGTCCATCTGTAGAGGGACCTGCACGCTCGGTGCGTGCTGCGGAGGGGGGGTGATTGCAATGTGCTGAGGTCATCAGAAATCCAGAATCCTGCGATCGGGGGATGGAAGAAGGAGAAGGAATAAAAAGGACAGCAGAGAGGGAGGTGATGGAAGGCGGATGAGGGAGATAATGAGGCTGGGGACATGGGGGGTCTTTTGGGAGACAGGAGGGGACTCTGATTTGAC